TACCCATTACGAAGTATCATAACGAAATTTAATACAATTCCAGTGAACAATGTCATCAAAATTCCGAATACAGGGAGGTAAAGTTATCTAAACGTGGACCTATGTAGCCTATATAGTCCATTTTCAATACTAAAAGTCCTGCAGTCCTGCATCGTTAAATCGACATAGAATTGTATGTTGATCAATAACATAATTACTTGTGGGGTCTAAAATGTATATTTCGAGGTGTTTTACAAACGGAGTGATAAACTTAATATACCCTCCATACCATGGTGGAGGGTATAACAATTTGGTTATCGTAGTGAATGTAAAATGCAGTTTGCAGTTATGGAACAGAGTATTTATTGTCAAATTTGTGTCAAAAGTTGCTAGATTTGGCCGACCTTGTACATGCCATGAGCATGCACACATTTTTATACCATCCACCTTCAAAAGTAGGGTATATTACCTTCGTTATTCCGTTTGTAATGTCCCTAAATATCACGATACAGTCCACATTATTTGACGTAGATCTTAAAAAATTGGCAGAACAATTTATATTGTGTCTAGGATGGTTGGAATTGAAAATCAGATATATCGGTCCACGTTTTGGTATAGCCGCCATACCTCGCGATATTCGGTATTTTGATGTTTTTCGCCACATTTTTTCAAAAAATTGGTATTTGTAGGTCTTAATGGGTTCTAGCGCTAGTGGCGGGACGTTGTATGAATAGGTCCACGTTTTCGTATAGCCCCATATAACGGTACTTCCCGATTTCGTTATTTTGCTGATTTTTACCATATATTTCCAGGGATAACGATACCCACCGATACTCGGTATTTTGATAATCCTAGTCACATTTACCCACGAAATTGTTTCGAATTTGGTATTTATTAAGATTTGGCAGATTGAAGTATAAAAATCCCTATAGAGTTTCCCCTTTTGGTATGACCCCCATATGAAGGCTTCACACACTTTATGGTTTTTTGAAAAGTTTAACAGAATTCTCCAAACGGTCTTACTGATATTTGTGGTTTAAAGGGGAAACACGTTTGAATTCAGATACTTTTATAAAAAATTTGTTCTTTACCCAAAGGTGGAGGGTATTAAAAATTCGACCTGGCCGAACTTAATGTATTTACCATTTAATAGGGCCAAAACGTGAGTTCGTAATGGGAAATACAGACTGTAACAGAATAACCACCGAAATTGTTTGAGATATCGTATTTGACGTTAGTAATGGATGCTACAGCCTATGACAGAAAATTGTCAATGCTGGTCCAGGTCTTCGCACAGCTCCGATATAACGGCACCTCCCTATATACGATATTTTGATGATTTTAGCTACATTATTCACCGTTTATTTCAAGTTTCGAATTTGAATATGATAAAGACTTATGACAAACAATGCATATGTAGGTCCACGTCGTATAGGCACCAAAATAACGACTATATTCGTTATTTTTAATATTTTAACAGAATTTTTTAAGGATTTTATTTCCAAATTCGTTCCAAATGGTGGAGGCAATTCAAAGTTCGGCCCGGTCGAACTTGCTACTTTTTAACTTGTTTTTTTTAGCAATTATTTATGCCATGCCCTTACCGTACTAAAATCCGTTGTAAAAGAATTTTCCACATATCATGTTCAGATGTAGTGGTAGGTACATTGTCATGCACACCTTTCCCTCGGTTTCCTTTTCTTTTTTTAATTCTTATTTATAAAAATTTAATTAAAATAAATTCCCTTCTCCATTTCCACATAGCTGAGCTCAGTTATGGCTAGTTTTACACTTTCACATAATCTCATTGTGTGTGTGTGTGTGTGTAATATTTGTTTCTGTTGTTTCTAGTACTTGGTCATGTCAACTTTGTAGTCTTGGATACTCGGGTGACAGGTTGGGGTTTTTGTGTTTTTGTCCTGGCATGGAACTAAAATAAATGCAGATAAAATGCACCTATTATTGCCCGAAAGAGAGGAAAGGGCAATGGGAAGAAGACAACATTAAATAAAAATAACTTTAAATCATTTCAGATTTTAAAGGCCAAAGTTATAGTCTTTGGTTATGAAAATATTTAAAACTCTACTTAAAAATCCACATTTTTGATTCTGAAGAAACTTGAATAAAAAATAACAAATTTTGAAATAAACAGTAAGCTTCGGCAATACTGCGGACAAAAATACAAGTATTCTGAAACAAGTGGCCATGTATTTTTGTAAACAAAGTATAGACCGCATTTATTGCCCAATCCAGGTGATATTTTGCACAAGTCATTTGTTCGAACCCTTTTAAAATCGGAGATAATCGTTCAACATTTAGATATAGCTCCCATATATGTCATCGTTCGATTTACTTTTTATTGGGCACCAAACGTGTAATATTAGCGCAAATAGTATGGAATTTGGCATATATGACCAAATTAAGTCTGGAAATAAGTATGCCAAATTTTATCGAGATCGGTTCAGATTTGGATATAGCTCCCATATATGTCTATGTACGGGTACAGGGTGAGATAAAACAAGTAAAAAAGCAGTAAGTTCGGCCGGGCCGAGCTTTGAATACCCTCCACCATTTGAACGAATTTGGCAATTCTTTTTTTTATATTAGGGTCTATACGATGACATGAACCTGCGTAGGTAACATTTGTCATAAGCCATTACAATATTCAAATGCGAAATTTAAATAAAAAATCGGTTATAATGTCGACAAAATACAGAATATCGGGAGGTATCGTTATGTGGGGGCTATACGAAGACCTGGACCTGCATAGACAATTTTTTGTCGTGGGCTGAAGTATCCATTACGAACTTTAAATATCAAATTTGAAACATTTCCGGTGAACAAATTCGCTAAAATCATCAAAATACCGAATATCGAGAGGTACCGTTATATGGGGGCTCTACGAAGACGAGGACCTGCACAGACAATTTTCTGTCATACGCTGTAGTATCCATTACGTACTTCAAATACCAAATTTGAAACAATTCCGGTGAACAAATTCGCTAAAATCATCAAAATACCGAATATCGGGAGGTACCGTTATATGGGGCTATGCCAAAACGTGGACCTATTCAATTCGTTCGGAAGCTAGGATGATTTCCACAGACTAAGACAGAAAATTGTCTGTGCAGGTCCACGTCTTCGTATAGCCCCCATATTACGGTACATCCCGATATTCGGTATTTTGATGACTTTAGCTACATTATTCACTGATTTTTTTTTCTAAGTTTCGCATTTGAATATTGCAATGGCTTTTGACAAATGTTACCTATGCAGGACCATGTCGTCGTATTAACCCTAATATAACAGCTACTTTCGTTATTTCTAAGATTTTTACAGACTTTTTAACGGATTTTATTGTATTTGAGAATTGCCAAATTCGTTCCAAATGGTGGAGGGTATTCAAAGATCGGCCCGGCCGAACTTACTGCTTTTTTACTTGTTGTTCATATATTTTTTTTTTAATTTTATTGATTGAAACAAAATATGTCGGAGATAGCTTCAAATTTTAGAATAAATTTAGATTTCTTCAAAATGGTCACCATTGGCCTTCAAATGACCAATGAAACCGTCACACGCTGCCCGAATGTAGCTCTGCGGTATTTTGGCCCAATTCCAGCGAAGCGCTTGCTTGAGGTGATCGACACATTGGGTTTTTTGTAGAGCCAACTTTGCTTTCCAAGATACTCCAGTCACAATAGTCCAACGGACTGGTATCCGGGGAATTATGGTGGCCATTGTGCGCTAGAAATGAAGCGAGAAACCTCATTTTGTAAAAATTCTGGTGCTGAGTCCTGTTGGAATGTCCAAGGTCTGCGGCCAAAATGTTTGCGTGCCCAAGGCTTTAGTACACCCTCCAGAATATTTTCGCGATAATATTCGACATTTATTCTGATGCCACGGTTGATTTGTACCAGTGGAGAGCGACCATCGGCGACCCACACCATCACCATGGCCGACGCTTCAGTTCTGGTGGCCAACCGAAGGTGCACATTTTCAGCCAATCTCTTTTGCAAGTAACCGCGATCATTTTGTTTGTTTACAAACTGCTGGAAAACGAATGTTTTCTCATCAGAGAAACCCAAATTCGGCAGTTCACCACTTTCGGTCAAGCAACTCTTTAGCCCTTGTGAGTTTAATTTCTTCCTGTTGCGGTGTAAGTTCTTGAACTTTTTGGAATTCCAATGGCAATGGCTTAACCCCGAGCTTATTTTTCAATATTTAGCGAATGGAATATTGCGATATGTTAAGCTCGCCAGGCATTTTTCCGCCACTGGGACGAGGGTTTCGAACAAGTCGCTTCTTTACTTTTCGAACCATTTCTGCTGATGTTGCTGTTTTCTTCCGTCCACTGCCTTGACGTCGGGTTATGCTATCAGTATCACGGTAAGGAGCGATGGTACGAGTCACAAAAGATTTATTCACATTTAAATGCTGGAGTGCTTTAACGATAGTCACTTGTGGTTTTCTAGCCAAATTTAAAGAGATCACACTATCACGCTTGAATTCCATCACGAATACTTTTTTTGTGGGAAATTCTCACCAAAATGCTTCTGTACGCTTGTAAAAAATAAAATGAGCTGTCACTGGAAAAATTTTAACAGCTGTCGGACGAGTTGCTTATAAATGACAGCATTCTGCAGTTGATTGCAGTTTTTTCATTTTAACCTGTAATATTGACCCAAATGGTATGGAATTCGGCACTTAGAACCAAATTGAGCCTAAAAATATAAGTCAAATTTGGAGAAAATCGGTTCAGGGAGCTATAGCTCCCATATATATTGTTCATCTGATTTGTTATATTTTTTATTTATATTTAAGTTATATGAAGCTCTACTAAATATGCAAAGGGGTGCAGAGTATCTTTAAGTCGGTCCCGCCCGACATTAAGACTTACTTTACCGGTTTTTTATATATTTTTTTTACTTAGGTCCCCTTGTGTACTCAGCTGTTGTTGTTATTTTGTTGTTATTATTAAATTCCCCCCACAGCAATCTAAACTTTTTGTTGTTGGTATTCTGGCGAACCTTTAATATACAAATTATATTGTCAATTTTAAAATCATAGATCAATTATCATTTGATTATATGACAGCTGTATCATTTCGGCTGGGTTGGTATCAGTTCGACACTAGAACTGAAAACTTCAGCTTGAATTAAAAAACCTCAGTTAGTTATGGATCGTCTCTTATCGTTGTTTGGTGTGATTTCTCTCTTTGCCTTCCTTATCTATCGTTGGTATAGAAAACATTTCGATTTTTGGAAACACCACCCAGTGGTGCCAAGTGTTCAGGGTCGTATCTTCGGAGGAAATTTAAACGAGATTTTAACGCTGAAAACCAATTTCAGTTTCCATGTGAAAACCATTTACGACAATGAACAATTTTCCAATGAAGCTGCTGTGGGAATTTACGCCTTAAGACCGGCCCTTTTGCTAAGAGACCCCGAATTGATCAAGTCCATACTTATACGGGATTTTAATTGTTTTGCCAATCGCTATGGACGCAGTGATCCCCATGCCGATCCCATTGGTAATAAGAGCTTGTTCTTTGCACGCTACAACAGCTGGCGGGAATGGCGCCTCAAACTCAGTCCAATATTTACCAGCGGAAAAATGAAGCAAATGTATCCCCTCATCCAGCAGGTGGGTGAGAATTTGGAGGAGTATCTGCACAAGACGGGCGAGTGTTTTGTGTGTGAGTGCAAACAGTTGGCAATTCTCTTTACCATCGACAGCATTGCGACAACAGTTTTTGGCGTTGCCACCAATTCTTTGAAGAATTCTTCATCCCAGGCCATAACCCAGCAAATCCGACAACTGGTGCTGTTTAATTTGAGAAGGGCCCTAAATTTCTTTGTTGTCTTTATGGCGCCCAATTTGAATTGGCTCTTTAGGCCATCAATTTTTTTTAGGGAAACTGTGGAATTTTTCAAAACCCACACAACACAAAATGTAGAAGAACGCATTAGAAGTCCAATTAGGCGCCCCGATATGATTGAACTTGTCACAAAACTCCGACATGAGGTGGTGGAGAAAGGTGGAGATATCAAGGAATTTATGGAGTTCATTGTGGCCCAGACAGTGACATTTTTTTCGGGTGGAACGGAAACCTCATCGACAACAATTGCCAATGTTCTCTTTGAATTGGCCAAAAATCCTCACATCCAGCAACGTCTAAGGCAAGAGCTGTTGGATGCCTTCTCTAGGGGAAATGGTTCCATATCTTATGAGGATCTAAGTGAATTGGAATATCTGAGCATGGTGGTGGATGAAACGCTGCGTATGTACCCAGTTTTCCCTTTGATTGAAAGGCAATATTTGAATCCCAAGAAGGAGGTATCTGAGGGATACTCGCTGAGGCCATTCTACGATTTTGAAATACCAAATGGCATGCCGGTCTATATTTCGGTCTATGGTTTGCATTATGATGAGAAAGTAAGTTAGGGGGGAACATCAAAATGGAATTACCCATAGAAACCTTATTCTTCTGTTTTTTTCTTCTTTCCAGTACTGGACCGATCCTCGAAAATTTGATCCAGAACGTTTTTCACCAGAGAATAAAGCGAATTTAAACCCCATGATTTATTTACCTTTTGGAGGTGGTCCCCGCAATTGTATTGGCGCCCGAATGGGCTTAATACAGGTTAAAACATGTATTGCATATATCTTGAAAAACCATCGTATTGAAATATGTTCGGAAACGAATTTGCAAACGAAATTTAATCCCAAGGCATTTGTATTACAAGTCGAGGGCGGTATCAATTTGGAAATAGTTAAAGATGAATTATATAACAGATCCGTAACGAAGTTGGAATGAATTTGAAAAAATAGCCTTAGATATGAAAAGTATTGGCATAATGTGTTTAAATAAAAGTCCATATATGCTAGCACTTAAAAAATTCTAAAAATTCCGCTTTAGTGGTCCCTGGAAAACTATTATTAAAAATGCAACCATGTTGGTCCTTGATTTTGTTTTTAAATGTATTTTTTTTCTGAAGAAGTTCACAATATTCTTTGTCGATTGTAGGAAATCACTTTACACTTGCAGTCTTGTAACATAATGTGAGTTTTCATTTTTCTCGGACATTAAGCATTTAATGGAAAACCATTGCATTTTTTAAATATGTTTTTAAGCGGAATGCATTTAAAAATGTTCAAAGGACTAAAAACAATTTTTTTACACCTCTGACGTCGGAAGTCCTTCGTCCAGCAAAGTGTTGGCATGTTGACAGGCTTGCAACATAAAACCAAAAAAATACAAAAATATAATGCATGTGTACAGGGTGAGATAAAAAAAAACTGCAATAAAGTCAAACGCCATAATTTTTATATTTTTATACCCTCCACCTTGAAAAGGAGGGTATATTAACTATGTCATTCCGTTTGTAACATGTCTAAATATTCGTCGTAGACCTCATGATGTATATATATTCATAATCAGCATACAATTCTAATTCTGCCTGTTTAAATCACGATACAGCCCACGTTATTTGACGTAGAGCGTTAAAATTTAGCGGAATAATTTTCATTGTGTCTAGGATGGTTGGTATTGAAAATGAGATATATCGGTCCACGTTTAGGTATAGTCCCATATAACGGTACATCACGAATATGTCTAAAAATTGGTATTTGTGGGTCATAATTGGTTCTAGTGTTTCCATTACCCGACCGAACTTAATGTTTTTACTTGTTTTTATACTCTACACCACAAGGTGGTCAGGGTATTATGTCTTTGTGCATTTGTTTGTAACAGGCAAAAGGAAACGAGATAGACCCATAGTTCCTTTTGATGATCTGCATAGAATCACATTCTGAGTCGATTTATGCATGTACGTCCGTCCGTCTGTCCATGTATTTTTGTAAACAAAGTACAGTTCGCATTTATTGCCCTATCCAGATGAAATTTTGCACAAATAATTTGTTTGGCCCAAGAACGAATCCTATTGAAATTGGAGATAATCGGATATAGCACCAAACGTGTAATATCATTCCGAATAGTATGGAATTTTGCACGTACGATCAGATTGGACCTGAAAATAAATATGCCAAATTTGATCAGGTTCAGATATTCAGATAGATTTGAATCGGTTCAGATATAGATATAGCTCCCATATATATTGTTCATCCGATTTGTTATTTTTGTCCTCCGCAGCCGTAATATGCACTCTGTAACAACAATATTTGGGGAAATATATCAAATACAGCTCAGAAATACCTTTGCTAAATTTTATCGAGATCGGTTCAGATTTGGATATAGCTCCCATATATAACTTCGTCCGATTTACCTTTAATTGTGCACCAAACGTCTAATATTTGCCCAAATTGGATGAAATTTGGCACTTACGACCGAATTGAGTCTAGAAGCTAGTATGTCAAATTTGGGGAAGATCGGTTCAGATATAGCTATAGCTCCCATATATACTGTTCATCCGATTGGTCATATTTGTTACCCACAGCCGTAATATACGCTCCGTAACAACGATATTCAGGGAAAAATATCAAATACAGCTCAGAAATATCTTTGCCAAATTTTATGGAAATCGGTTCAGATTTGAATAAAGCTCCCATATATATTTTTATCCGATTTCAAATTAATTGTGCACCAATACAAATCCGAATTTAAAAGATACAAATGCTTGGGTGTATTTAGTCCTTTGAACTTTAAATTATAATAATAATCATAGCGTGTATGATTGAATTCTCCCATAAAAACGTTTAATTGTTATGCGCAGCGCTACTAAATTAGCAAAGTGGTGTAGGGTATCATAAAGTCAGCCCCGCCCGACTTTAAGACTTTCTTTACTGGTTTAATTGTTATTAAATGCAAGCAAAAAATGTCGGAAATATCATCAAATTTTAAAATATGTTAATTTGTTTGAATTGATCAACTTTGGAACGAATTATGGCCTTCAAACGGCTAATGAAAGCGTCACACGCTACCCGAATGTTGCTCTGCGGTGTTTTGCCCCATTTCCGGCGAAGCGCTTGCTTGAGGTGATCGACACTTTGGTATTTTCTAGTGCCAACCTTGCTTTCCAAAATACTCCCGACACAATAGTCCAACGGATTGGTATCTGGAGATTTTGGTGTCCACGGTGCGCTGGAAACATTCTTGGGAGGCGCGTGCTGAGTGCGATGGTGCTGAGTCCTGTTGGAATGTCCAAGGTCTGTGGCCAGAATGTATGCGTGCCCAAAGCTTCGATAGACCCTCCAGAATATATTCTAGTGTCAAGGTCGATTAATACGAGCGGAGAGCGACCCTCGGCTGTTATGGCGGCCCACCCCATCACCATGACTGGCGCTTGAGTTCTAGTGGCCAACCGACAACATTTTCAGCTGACCTCTTTGGCAAGTAAACACGATCATTTTGTTTGTATACAAACTGCTGGACAACGAATGTTTTCTCATCAGAGAAACCCAAATTCGGCAGGTCACCACTTTCGGCCAAGCGAAGCAACTCGTTAGCTCTTTTGAACCTATTTTCTTTCTGTTGCGGTGTAAATTCTTGAACTTTTTGGAATTTTAATGGCTTTATCCCAAGCTCATTTTTTAAGAAATAACACTATCACGCTTAGATTACATCACGAATAACTTTTTTCTAGAAAATTCTCACCAAAATGCTTTTCTACGTTTGTAAACAATATAATGGCTGTAAGCTTTCGGACGAGTGGCTTAGAAATGACAGCAGCCTGAGGTTGGCTACAGTTTTTTCATCTCACCCAGTTTAATCAGTTGAGTCGAAGTGTATGAGCATTTTATTTTATTTCCCTTTAAGTAATTTCTTGTTGGTGTGAGTGTGCGTTACCACTTGCTGCCGAGGACATGTATGTATTGTAGTCTGGATGTCTAGTGCACAGATGAAGGCCCTTTGACGTTGTCACACATTGAAAAAGGCGAAACAGACAGCAGTAGAGAAAAGAAAGCTTTTGGCATCTTTGCTCGAGTTGGTCATGCAACAGTGCAATTAAAAAGCTTCGTTTTTGCCCCTTTTTTGTAAATGAAGAGCTCTTTTGCAGAAACATACTTACATCAGAGATATTCTTTTCATTTTTTGTTTAAGTCTGATGTTTAGGAGGGCACTTTGTGCATTGGAATTGTAAAAGAGTTAAAAAAGTGTTCATCGTTTTGTCGGCAGATATACATATACCCTCATCCCATGACAAACCGTATGCGGCCGAAAGTCAAGATGAGAATCATTTATAGTCTCTATGGTCAAGCTGGAGGTGAGAGAGTTCAAACAGATGAGCTGGAGGCGAGATTTGGAAAAATTAAATGGAAAATATGAGTAAAATGAAAAAAAAAAAAATATATATTGAGCTGAAAATATCGCAATATTCCATTCGGCAAATATTGAAAAATGAGCTCGGGGATAAGCCATTAAAATTCCAAAAAGTATAAGAACTTACACCGCACCAGAAGTTTGTAAACAAACAAAAGAGATCAGCTGAAAATGTGCACCTTCGGTTGGTCACCAGAACTTTAAACGCCGGCCATGGCGATTGGGTGGGCCGCCATAACAACCGAGGGTCGCTCTCCGCTAGTATTAATTGGCCTTGGCATTAGAATAAATGCCGAATATTATCGCGAAAATATTCTGGAGGGTGTATTAAAGCCTTGGGCACGAAAACATTTTGGCCGCAGACCTTGGACATTCCAACAGGTCTCAGCACCATCGCACTCAGCACGCGCCACCCAAGAATGGTTACAAAATTTCTTTCTTTATTTCCAGCGCACAGTGGCCACAAAAATCTTCGGGTACCAATCCGTTAAACTATTGTGTTTTGAGTAGTTTGAAAGTAAGGTTGGCACTACCAAATACCAAATTGTCGATAACCTCAAGCAAGCACTTCGCCGGGAATGGGCTAAAATACCGCAGAGCAACATTTGGGTAGCGTGTGACGGTTTCATTTGCCGTTTGAAGGCCATAATTCGTGCCAAATGTGACCAATTCGAACAAATCTAATATTTTTCTAAAATTTGATGCTATTTCCGACATTTGATGCTATTTCCGACATTTTTTGCTTTCATTCAATAACATTTAAAAAAACATGTAAAAATTATGGCATTTGACTTTGTTGCAGGTTTTTTATCTCACCATGTAGTATTCATATTTCTAACTTTCAGAATTCCAACTCTATTGGTTCTCCGTATATTTTATAAACCGTCACACGCTGCCCGAATCTACGGTATTTTTGCCCATTCACAGCGAAGCGCTTGCTTGAGGTGATCGACACTTTGATACTTTTTTAGTGCCGACCTTGCTTTCCGTAATTTTAACAGCTATCGGACGAGTGGCTTTGAAATGACAGCAGTCTGAAGTTGGTTGCAGTTTTTATACCCTACACCACAAGGTGGTCAAGGTATTATGTCTTTGTGCATTTGTCTGTAACAGGCAAAAGGAAACGAGATAGACCCATAGTTCCTTTTGATGATCTGCATAGAATCACTTTCTGAGTTGATTTATGCATGTCAGTCCGTCTGTCCGTCCGTCCGCCCGTCTGTCCAAGTATTTTTGTGAACAAAATGCAGGTCGCATTTATTATCCGATTGAGATGAAATTTTCCAAACAACATTTGTTTGGCCTAAGGACGAACCCTATTGAAATTGGAGATAATCGGTAAAAATTTAGATATAGCTCCCATATATATATTCGTCCGATTTGCCTTTTATTGTGCACCAAACGTGTAATATCAGTCCGAATAGTATGGAATTTTGCACATACAACCAAATTAGACCTAAAAAAAAGCATGCCAAATTTGATGGAAATCGGTTCAGATATAGCTATAGCTCCCATATATATTGTTCATC